TAAATTAGCATGATTCTAGCATGAATTAGCATGTTGTTAGCATGATTCTAGCATTAATTAGCATGTGACTAGCATGATTCTAGCATGAATTAGCATGTGACTAGCATGATTCTAGCATGAATTAGCATGTAACTAGCATGATTTAGCATGTTGTTAGCATGATGGATAGATAGATAGATAGATAGATAGATAGATAGATAGATAGATAGATAGATAGATAGATAGATAGATAGATAGATAGATAGATAGGTAGAGGTAGATAGATAAAGGTAGATAGATAGATAGATAGATAGATAGATAGATAGATAGATAGATAGATAGATAGATAGATAGATAGGTAGATAGATAGATAGATAGATAGATAGATAGATAGATAGATAGATAGATAGATAGATAGGTAGAGGTAGATAGATAAAGGTAGATAGATAGATAGATAGATAGGTAGAGATAGATAGATAGATAGATAGATAGATAGATAGATAGATAGATAGATAGATAGATAGATAGATAGATAGATAGATAGGTAGAGGTAGATAGATAAAGGTAGATAGATAGATAGATAGATAGATAGATAGATAGATAGATAGATAGATAGATGGTGTAAGAGCATGAGTCAAACAAGCCAACCCCCGCCTCTCTACGATGTTCTGATGCTGAGATATAGCTGGTGCCATATCGTTGCTAGGTTAGTCTGTTTTGTTGCTATGGAGTTGATTGACAGCTTAGACTGATGATGTATCAAAGCTTCTTGCCAGTATGAACAGTTAAACACAACCCCCATGTCTCTATCACACTGCAACATGACAATATCAGTCTGAACCTCTTTAATTGCAGTCTATGGGACAGTTGCTAGGGTGCAGTATCTGGTTGTTAGGGTGTGGCTAGAAAGTTAAAAGGCCATCGGTGATTGGCTGCTGGCTAGACTGAGTTAAATGAGCCTAGCCATTAGTCTGTAGGACAGTCTGATGCAGAGTTATGAGCTCACAAAGTTTGATCCCATGTAAAGTCAATGAGAGTCTTTTGCAATGGAAGTCTATGGGACGGTTTCTAGGGTCCAAAAGTGGTTGCTAGGGCGTGGCCAGAAAGTTTAAAGGTGATCAGTCATTGGCAGTTTGATAGTCTGAGTTAAATGAGCCCAGTTAGAAGTCTGTGTGACATTCTGATGCGGAGTTATGAGGTCACAAAGTTTGATCCAATGTTACGTCTATGGGATTTTTCCGACGGTCCCGGGACGTTTTTCGGGAAACCGAAAGTCGGATCAGTCGGAAAGGATATAGCAACTCGAGTCAGAATAGTTCGGAGGTCTGACCCAAGTTTGATGGTCATAGCTTGAATGGCCTAGGAGGAGATAGAGTTTAATTTTTAGTCTCAGAAGAAGAATAATATAGAAAAATAATAATAAGTTTAATAGGATAACAGTAGTCTGGCTTGCTACACAAGCCAGCCTAATAATAATAATAATAAGTTTAATAGGATAACAGTAGTCTGGCTTGCTACACAAGCCAGCCTAATAATAAGTTTAATAGGATAACAGTAGTCTGGCTTGCTACACAAGCCAGCCTAATTACTGTAATTGATAATTTTTACTCAGGAATTGTAATTAACTAAGTACATTTTAAAAAGTGTACTTTTACTTTGCCTGAAGTAATTTTTAATACTGTATCAGTACTTTAACCCCACTATTTTCCTTCAACCTGCAGGTACTTTATTCATGTTTGGAAGGTGTACAAGATGTCCAAAATCTTTACACACAATGACTCGGAGACTGTTTAGGCTGCATGTCACTGGTGAGAAAATGAAGGATGTCGATTTTATGAAGACTTAAATTCAGTCAACATTCATATGCACAACAGAATGTTACGTTTTCACACACACACAAACCGCATGTAAACACATCAACCTTACACTATTAATACTACTCATTACTCTTGCATACTTTTAAAAAGCCTACTGTTTACTCATACGTTGAGTAATATTTACAACAGATACTTTTACTCTACATGCAATACATTTCTGAGAAAGTAAGGGTACTTTTACTTGAGTAAATTTGTCAGTACTCTTTCCTTCACTAAACTAGCTAAAGTATTTGCTGAAGGCAAGTTTGTTTGGCAAAGAGATTGATTTAATAAAAACACAAAGTTTTAAATATTGTTTCAACAAGATAAATATTGTTTACAATGGGGTATAGATGCAGTTAATTACATGGTTGATCTGTTTCATATAGCCTATAATTGCTGTTCTTGCACTCAAAACCTATTCGGTGAAAAAGACGTTTTGTCCATATTTTACTCCATAATTCCATATTTTTTATTTACATATTTTGGTTGAAATAACTTGTGGTGCCTTTTTTGAGCTTCACAGTCCCAGTCCCGAACCACTTTCACTGACTGTACGAAATATCTTGGACATTCTGCTTCAGGACTCCTTAGCATTAACCCCAAAGCACTCAAAACTGGGTTATCACTGTGCTAAACACCATTTAAACTTGGGTAAAGGACATTTCACTTTCACTTTGATAGTATTTATTTTTCCTTGTACAGAAGTTAATGTTACAGGATTTCAGCGTTCTTAATTATCTTTAGGGTTCAAAAGAAGAAACTCATAAAGGTTGAAACAAGTTCAAGGGTGAGTAAATAATGAAAGAATTTTTGTTTTCGGTTTAATTATCCTTTTAATAAAGGAATAATAATTATTTCATAAAGGTCTGAAACCACTTGAGGAAGAGTACATAGTGTGTGAATTTTAATTTTTGGGTTAAATATTGCTTTAAAGCTTATCTTGTTATAATTAAGAACATTTTGAAAAGCAAATAAACAATCTCATTATAGTGCAAAACATAATGGCTAGACAGCAACCAACAACACGCCTCATATTTGGACAGCATTGGTGTTGTTGAACAGTCATTTCAGCATTTGAGAAAAAATAGCCATAACACATGAACTCAAGTAAAGAAGAGAATCTTACTTTTATAGTTCATCATACAAAACAACAACAACAACAACAACAACAACAACAACAACAACAACAACAACAACAACAACAAAATCTATCAAAACATAACTGTTCACCCTGGGTAAATTACAAGCAGTCTGAAATAGGAAGAGAGACAGATTCTGTTTACCCAGAGTTTAAAATGATTCATGGTTAACTGTTTGAATTATGAACTTGTTAAGAACTTAGATTTCGATTAAAATTATGCCTCTTTTGTGTTCCACCAAAGAAACAAAGTCATTTGGGTCTGAAAAACTTATTTTTAATCATATGTGCATAGTCAAAAGAAGAGTCAATAATTAGTTTGATGCATGGAGATTGATACGTCTACTAGAAAAGATCATGACCAATACAAATTTATTAGTTGTACCCATGCATGTCGTTCCTTATCTGGCTGTGAGACAATGGTTAGGACCAGTGGTGACGGCTTTTTAAACAAACTGTACATTTATTTTTTGTTTAATAGCTGTACACACACCATAGCTTTTTCTTTTGGGTGTACATAAAAATATATACTCTTTTTACACCAGCAAACATATTATTTCAAACACCATAAACAATTATCTATATACTGATTTTTCTTAGAATTTGCGTTTACATATGCACTGCTCCGTTGCGTTGTGTTTTTCTATATTTATACAGCAATTAAGCTGTCAGCCCTGAGGTTGCATTTTTCATAATTTGGACGCCCCCTGCTTGACTAGCCCCTGCAGTGCCTAGGCATGTTCAGCACAGATCACCCACCTGAACACAGCGGCTGCTGCAGTCAGTGTGCTCACTGGCATGGTCCGCAGGCCCACAGATGGGTGATTAACAGCAGGGCGCAGGGCTTTAGGTCTGTGCGTCTCAGTATGTGCTGATAAATAAATGTACTACCTTTATAGAGAGCTGTGTTTGTTTGGTGAACCTGGAATACTGGAATGTTTGTCTTCTTTTGATTCTGTGTGTTTGTGTGATACCTGTAGCAATTTACTTGTGATTAAATGGTCCTGTCATGCAAAATACACTCTCTAACATTGCCTTAATCGTTTCTACAAAATAGTGAGACATCACAAAGTGCATAATTTAAAAAATAAAATGTGTGTAGTTCTGTTCAGGCTTAATATTACAATCACAATGCTAAATACAACTGTAAAACATGCCTAAAAAGGCTTTGTCCACTTCATCAAAATGACAAAGTGTTAAAATTACCACAAAAGACCACCTACTCTCCTCCTACTGACATAATGGGATGTGTTGAGAAATGTGCATTAAATAACTGAGTTGTTCATATACTTCACTGCATTGTACCAAAACAGATAACAATCAAAATCGTAGTTGCTATCTATCCTGCTCATTCACTTGCTTTCCAGCTAACTTAATATGATGCATAGAATGGGGTTGGTCATTTAATATCACTCCAGTGTGACACTGAACAGTCTTGCAAAAGTGATGTAGAGGCTGACGAAAGTGAGAGGAGGAGAAATCAAAATGCAAGTGTTGACAAGAAACTCACCTTTAAACCATCTGAAAATGCTAATGAGCCTCGCAGATCTCATGTGATCAGATCACGTCAGTAAGCGTGCCATCAGTGGTCATTCCACGAAGAACCTTTAACATTTATGGAACCATCCCATTGGACAAATGGTTCTTTAAAATATTATTTGAAAATTATTTAAAATTTATTTAAATATTGCTTAAAAACTTTTTCTTTATCATTAATAAAATTTTTAGGTAAATATGACTTTAATATTTTATATAAATATATAATGTTCTCTTATAAACTTTGTATATTGTTATTGTGTATATTGTTTATATTATATTTATAAACACCATAAATCAAAATAGCTAATATAAAGTATTTTTAAAGCAGAATTTTATAGCGTATTAATAAATTCATTATGCTACCACAGTCCACAGTGCTTTCTGTAGCTACTTTCCAACCGCTGGCTGTCATGCCCAGATTGGCCGCGCAGTGGCGCAAAACGCGAGCTCCAGATGCCAATGGAGTGGGCACCGCGCTGTCATATGGTACTGTCGCCGATGCTCGAGACAAGATTGAGGCTCGAGGAGACTCTGAGGCTCAACGGAGGCAGTCGTGACGTGGTGTCGATATCATAACCGATCCTCGACTTGGAATAACCCAGCTGTGCGTTTGCGCCTTTCGCCTTGTGCGCGACGCGGCAATGCACAGGAACAATGGGGATGGTCAGAGGTTGCGCTGAGGACGCCAGATGCCATACCGCACACATGTCCTCCCTAACATACGAATCCAGGCTCAACGCAGGTTATTGATTATGCTTGCGGGGTCCGACCGGGAGCCAGACGTTTCAGTAGCAGCAGCAGAGAGTGCAGCAAGGTGGATGCTGCGCGGCGACGCGCCCCCTGAATCCCTAAACTGAGTGAGTATCTTCAGCAGCATCTGTATACGACTTTCATTGGCATGCACTCCTGCCTACGTGCTGACCACACAACGGAATCCTGTATTAAACGCATATCAGAATGTATACTATTATCGTTTACTGTTGGACGCAGGATGAAAACGCGTCCGGTTTACACGAGATTAATGACTCGCATCATTTAAGTCAGACGACACGTGTGCAACAGCTCCAGTGCAGCCGCATTACCCTTTGTGATTCGACGCTTAATTAAACGATTTATAAGCAGGTTGTGGCTCACTCTCTCACTGAGCGGAAACCGGCACTGTTCGGTATCACATTGAATACCGTGAATTATGGAATCAATTACGAGAGCAGCGACATAGCCACTCGCTTATTATATATCGCTTATATATTTGTTTCGCCTCAATTAAACGGGATTTCGATGGAAACCTCTCGCCGTCTGCTGTGGGAGCTGGCCTCGAGGACGCGCCTGCACTGCGCGTGCATTTCCACTTTGATCTTGCCAGATTATTTCCTGAGTGCATCGGTGATTGGCGGGACAAAACCCATGGGAGCAACGAATTGCTCGTGCTGAATAAGAGGTCGACCGCTGCGGGCCATAACATATTATGCATTCGCGCTACACAAAACATTGGCGAGCCGGGAAAACAATAGTGTTGCATTACATATTTCAGTAGAAACGTTTTTAATGTTCTGGCTATATGAACTATATGAACGTTTTTAATGTTCATATAGCCAGGGCAAGCCGTGGCAAGACGGAATTTATTCTGCTAACCTGTTGTGTGCCTTATTAAACCGCCGCAGTAAAAGCTGACTGAGCTCCTGTCTGCAAAAAAGGTGCAGCACTTCAAGATGATGATGTGTAATTTTGGGACGAGTCAGTAAGCAAGTTGAGGTGGCACGCGCGGTTTAATGTCTCTTGTGCCAGATAAAATAGAGGAGAAAATAAACTAAGGATTCACGAATTTAAAGAATTAAGCTAACTGTATTCCGACTAAAATTTTCATGCAATGGCTTATCCTGCTTACCCTCACATTCATTCACTGAATCATTTTGTTAGGTTTGTTTCTAAGCATGTGTCAGCCAATAGCAACCGAGCACTGCTTGCGAAACAGATCATGATTGGTTAAATTTAATGAACAAACAAGCCACCTGTACAAAAGGTTTTGTTTTTGGCTCAGTGTAAAATCTTTCATAAACATGCATGTGTATGTGTGTGAATGTGTGTGTGTGTCATTCATGTTCCAATAATGTGTTATGATTAAATTTTACTTTGGTAATTAAGAATTAAGACACATTTTAATGTGAATGTGTGTTTAACAATGAGGTAAAATTAGTCACGACATTCCTTCTGAAAACTTATTAGTATTAGTTTTATAATAAGATATGAACTAATTTGATGCGTTTCAGTCACAAATGTGCTTTTACTAGCAAAAGTCTTGAATGTCTTTCTGGAATACAAGATGTTCAAATGCAAATCTTCATGAAAGCCTCATACGGTTGTTTTTAATTCTGCACATTTGAGGCTGCGTCAATAATTGTGTACTTCCATACTTTATAGTACACTAAAAATTGTATGAAAGCAGAGTAGTATGTCTGAATTCGTTGAATTCGAAAAACAGTAAGCGTGAAGTACCCGGATGACTTACTTCCGCCGACATTCTAAAGTGTGCATCCAATGATATGCTACACTATCCCATGATGCCCTGCGTGAGAAGTAATGAATGAGAGTGAAGTGACGCAACACATGCATGTAGGTCACTTGATCAAGAAAAAATGGTGGATATAGTGTGTCCGAGTTCCATTCATACTGCTCACATTCATATTATATAGAGCAGGGGTCACCAATCTTGTTCCTGGAGGTCCGGTGCCCTGCAAGGTTTAGCTCCACCTTGCCTCAACACACCTGCATGGGTGTTTCAAGTAGTAAGACCTTGATTAGCTTGTTCAGGTGTGTTTGATTAGGGTTGGAGCTAAAATCTGCAGGACACCGGACCTCCAGAAACAAGTTTGGTGATCCCTGGTATGGAACACACTTTACTAACAGCCGAGTAGTACATTTAAATTCAAATGCAGTACCTACTGAGTAGTAGGCGATTTCCGATGCAGCATAATATGTTTTCCTTAACACACCAGATTCAGATTATCAACTCATTAATAAAGAGATCCATGAACTGACCCTTGTGTGTCAAATAACAGGCGAGGAATAGAATTGAGAAACACTGACCTAATAGGACCATTTTCGTCACAAATGTGTTGTTTTAAACAATTGTTTCAATGACTCACAGCAGTCTTTCTGCAATCTTTGCAATATTAGATGTTTTATAAAAACATAAAAAAAAGACTCGATTCGATAGCAGATGTGTTTTTTTAGAATTAGTTCAGTGAGTCATTACAGTTAATTTTAAATGCAAATGTTCAAAAATTACAGGCTAATAAAAACTTAGATCACAAATATCTTGTTTCTAAGGAAATGGCTGAATGACTCAACACTATTTAATCAAGGAGTTGAATGACTCACAACACTGAAATCTTTATGATTTTTAGATGCAACTGATTTTTAGATGCAACTGATTTTTTGGCGGAACTGATTTTTAGATGCATTTTTTTGTAAAAAGATTCAGAAGAATCGAGTTATTGAAATGCATTAGAGCTCCAGTGCAGAGGGAAGCCTTGTCAGTTCAGACTGGTGATGTACCTGTCATACATACAACAGACAGATGAAGGCTCTGTGTGTGTCATGTCTGTGGTTTTGCTAGAATCGCTGCAATGAATCAGACTGTTGGGGCCAAGCTGTTCAGTCATATAAGCTTTCTGTTGATTGTTGGAGACTAGAACAGATATGATGTCCCCAACTATGAGCATCAGAGAAAGCAAGCAGAATGTTCGCAATGTCTTATCAACAAAACAGAAATCCCACATTGGCCTACGTGTGTCTGAAGGGGCAATTGAATTGTTTTAAGGTAGTTTGGAAAAACTACCATTATAATATAACCTATAAATGTAATCTACTCGTGATGCTATAGCAAAATTCAAATGAATGAAATGACAGGTTTAATTGTACAAAATAATTAACTCTTCTGTTTTTTTATTATCATTATTATTTTTGTGAAAAGCCTAACAATGTTTCTATTTGAATATTACTACATTTTCTTTCAGTTTTCTTTACCTCAATTTCAGATATTATTTTTAGAGAAACCGGAAAGGTAATCAAGACTCAGCAATGAAGAAATAGTTCACTCAAAAATGTAAATTTTGTCATCATTTACTCACCCTTGTATAACATCTTTATGAGTTTTTTTCTTTTGTTGAACACAAATAAAGCTATTTTGAAAATATTGGAAACCTGTAACCAGTGCTTTCCATAGCTCCAACTTGCTTCAACACACCTGCCTGGAAGTTTCTAGTATATCTAGTAAAGCCACAGTCACACTAGAGTTTGAGCATGTGAAATTCTGTTATATGGCGCTGCAAAAAGGGGTTGGATTAAACAAAATTATTAGGCATTTTAAAATGTGGGTTATTGGTCCATATTTAAAATTTTTGTCAAGAGAGGTCATGTTTTGATCTTCGATTGGTCTCACGCATTCACGTGATGCAATTTTGAGTTCACCAAGCTTGAACTTTGCACGGCAGTGAACTGCTAAACTTGTCGCACAAGCTTGTGTTGCTCGTCTGACACACTCGCGTGCATATGAATGGACGTCTATAGGGTGAAAAGTCCAGTGAGACCATGGCTTGAGAGCTTGATTAGCTGGTTAAGGTATGTTTGATTAGGGTTAGAGCTAAACTCTCGAGTTCAGCTGTTAATCAAAATCAAATCGCAATCGCAATTTGAAAAGTTTTGATTAGCTAATTGCAAGAGGCTGCGTTATGAAATACAGTTGAAGTCAGAATTATTAGCCCCCTTTTTCATTTTTTCTTCTTTTTTAAATATGTTCCAAAAAATGTTTAACAGATTCAGGAAATTTTCACAGTATGTCTGGCGATATTTTTTCTTTTAGAGAAAGCCTTCTTTGTTTCATTTAGACTAGAATAAAAACAGTTTTTACTTTTTTAAACATCATTTTATGGACAAAATTATTAGCCCCTTCAGGCTTTTTTTTTTCTGATAGTCTACAGAACAAACCATCGTTATACAATATCTTGCCTAATTAACCTAACCTGCCTAGTAAACCTAGTTGACCAAGTTAAGTCAAATTTCACTTCAAGCTGTATAGAAGTGTTTTAAAAAAATTGCAAAGTAATAGTGTCTAGTAAAATATTATCTACTGTCATCATGATAAAGATAAAATAAATCAGTTATTAGAAATGAGTTAAATAAAACTATTATGTTTAGAAATGTGTTGAAAAAATCTTCTTTCGGTTAAACAGAAATTGTGGAAAAAATAAACAAGGGGGCTAATAATTCAAGTGGGCTAATAATTCTAACTTCAACTGTATATGTCTATTATTTAATTATTTAATCCCCCACCCAGAGCAAATGTCATCTGTATATGACAGTCTTACAAGCCAGTTGAGTGAGAACACTTTTGTTCCACCCAATCAGAATTGCACAACTGAACTACGGGAACGCCCACAATAAAAAAGACAAGTGAAGTAATGGCATCTGCAGCTTCAAAGGCATTAAATGATGAAATGGGAACATTTTGGTTTAATTTTTGGTCATTTTTAAGCTCTATTGCAGAATGTTTGCCATAACGTACAGATTATTAAGCTGAATAACAACTACAAAATTATATAGATAAATATATTTTCCCCAAATCGCACAGCCCTACTCTTCAGGACACTGGCCCTCCAGGACCAAGTGTGGACACCCCTGATGTATACCAATGGTTATATGTTTCCAATATATTTCCAAATATCTTTATGCTTTGTCTTCAACAGAAGCAAGAAACTCCTAAAGGTTTGAAACCACTTAAGTGGAAGTATATAGTGAGTACATTTTCATTTGTGGGTAAACTATCCCTTTAAAGCTTATCTTTTTATAATTAAGAACA